CACAGGCTCAGCGGCCATGGCTCACGGGCCCAGCCGCTCCGCGGCATGTGGGATCTTCCCGGACCGGGGCACGAACCCATGTCCCCTGCATCGGCAGGCGGACTCTCAACCACTGCGCCACCAGGGAAGCCCGCAGCGCTGGCCTTTTTATACACATCCTCATTGGAGACTGTTCTGTGGGGACAGCTGGGAGGGCCCAGACATAAGTGAGGGGGTGAGCGTGCAAGGAGTGCAGGCAAAAGGGGAGAAGGAAACACTCTGATAGTATCAGAGCTATCCTCTCTGGGGAGGGACAGGGATGCTGAGAGATGCAGGGGGATCTAGGACCCTATGCTGAGAAATCATGGGTGACCTGATTTCAGTGGGATCTGGGGAAAACACAGAAAGTTATCAAGAGGCCACCCCAAGTCCGAGCCTGGCCTCCAAACCTTCAGCACAGAGGGACTCTGTGCCCATTAACCCTTCAGGGTACAGTGAGGAATGTAGGTGCACGTATGCATGTGTGAACACATATGTATGTACACATATGCACATGTGCCTATGTATTACGTGTGTGCATGTATGCATGTATGTGCATGTGGCACATACTTGAAATATTTTTTAAGGAATTACTTTATTTAAAATTGGTGAATGTGGCTAATTAAAACCCCAAAATTTTGTATGGAAAACAAAATCATACATAAAGTTAAAAAATAAAACATCAATGGAAAAAAATAATTTGCAACACATTTGACAGTTAACAGCTGACATTCTCAACATATAAAAACCTCATGAATCAGTAAGAGAAAGACCAACATGGCAGTAGACAACAGCAACCAGAGGTGTGAACAGGCTGTTTGCAGAAAAAGAGAAAGAAAAGATCAATGCAACATTTTCCTAAGTGCTTCTACTAGCCATTGAGGGATGCTGTGGAGGGAGACCAACATGTTTGGATCCAGGTCCTATTGAATAATAGTTTCTGATGACACAGATCGCACAAACTTTTTTTTTTTTTTTTTTTTTTCAGTACGTGAGCCTCTCACTGTTGTGGTCTCTCCCGTTGTGGAGCACAGGCTCCGGACGCGCAGGCTCAGCAGCCATGGCTCACGGGCCCAGCCGCTCCACGGCATGTGGGATCTTCCCAGACCTGGGCACGAACCCGTGTCCCCTGCATCGGCAGGCGGACTCTCAACCACTGCAGCACCAGGGAAGCCCCGCACAAACTTTTTGAGCCATGATTTCCTCACCCATGGAATGAGAATGATGATTTGTCCCCGGAAGTTATTTTAAGGATCAAAGCATCAATAGAGCATCTGGACACATCCCACAATTTTACTGATTTTCTCCATGTTGAAACACAAACCCAGCACTGTGCCCATGAAGCAGAGGTGGGACCGCCCTACCTGGATGCCTTGGACAATGTCCTTAAATACCAGTGAGCGCTGGGTCCAGGTGCTCACCAGCTCCACGGCCCGGTCAAAGTTCTTGACATATTCGCCGTACATCTTGAGGAATGGGGCCAGCTTCTGCAGGATGTCTCCAAGCCGGGGGTTTGTGTCCCTTTGTGGGGGAGTGAGTGAGATCGTCAGGCAAACAGCTCCAGTGAAGGGCCAGGGTGAGACAGGGACTTCACCAGGGAGCTATGGGACAATGGCCTGACTCCCAGCTCTGTGTGATGGTGGGCAAACTGGTCACCTTCCCTAAGTCTTACTTTCCTTCCCTGTATCACATGGGATGGAAAATAGTGTGTTACCTAGAGGATCATGTAAAGTACTTCAACCATGCAGTCATAGAACGATTGCTCAAAACCAGGAGTTGTTAGTCATAGTGGAATCACTTTAATGATGAGCCACAGTTATGAGAAAGAATCAAGAAAACCCCATTATACTTCTTCTATATGAGCAAAGATTAGGAACAATGGGGCAATCTAACTCTGGCAATGTCATGGGAAAGCAGCACTGTGTAATAATGAATGGTTTGGACAGGGATTTGGAAATAAATTTCAAGGAGCAGAAGATATATTAATAACCTTTGACCTTAGAACTGTGGGGGATTTATCCTAAAGAAATAATCAAAAAGAAGAAAAAAAGCCATATGCATAAAGTCATCCTCTGCAGCATTACTAGGAACGTGCACTCAAAGGCCCACCACCTGTGAAGACGGATGGGCAAGCTGCTGGACTCTCACACCATTATTATACAAGGAGTGTCTGTGTGCTGACAGTCTCTCCAGGGCCTTGAGGAGAAAACTTATATCTAGCAGGTGTGCACTGCATCAGCCAGAAAGCCAATCTAGCCCTGAGCTTTAACCTCATGGCCTTGGACACAGTATAACCTGCTCTGCAGGTGGAGCATGTCTTTCTAAATATTTACAAATTGCCCTGGACCCCCTCTGAGCCTTGCAGGTGCAGGGACAACCCCCAATCAAGCCCCCTGGCCTCTGTGTTCTCCCTGGCCTGGCTGCAGCTTGGAAATGGCCTCTTCTCCTCTTACCATAGAACCACACACTGGCTCAAGCCAGGCCAGTGAAGAGGGGAGACACCAGAGACCCCATAGCAAAGCTGCAGCAGCACCCAGAACAGAGGGGGAAGCACATAATATGGAGAATGGCAAGCTGGGGGCCAAGCCTGTAATGTTTTATTATCATTTCTTACAGCTGGGCAGTCCCTCTGCTACAAATGCACGGAAGCGGCAGAGGGACAGAGAGACAGCCCTCTGGGGACACTGCTGAAGAAGAAAAACATCTCATTTTTTAAAGCAGAGGTGCAATATACACTAGGAGGGAAAATAAACCAATAAGCACTGTCTATTCACTGGTGTTTGCAGATAGCAAACCTCATTTAAATTCCACAAAACCCTGAGCAGGTATTAAAGTCCCTTTAATTTGCTGATGAAGAAGCTAAGACACTGAGAGGGCTTTTGGGGTCAGGGTTGGCCCAGGACCCTACAGAAAGAGAGCCCAGGGCACTATGAGACAGGCTCCCCAGGTGCCTCCTGGCTTTTGGGCATACAAACCCCAGATTTAGAGGCTGCTTGGCAGAGAGTATTCAACAAAACCACTGCAATAGTGTCACCATGACCCTCAACCACCAAGGGCATTGGAGCCAAACTCGCTGGGAGATGCCAGCCCCTACAATTCCCGGGCACCATGAGCTGCACTTACCACTCATTCATGATCCGTGTCTGCAGCTCAGGCAGGAGGAACTTCCCGTGGAAGCAATAGATGGAGGAGATGTTAGAGAAGATGCCTGTGGTGACTTCCGAAGGGATCCCTGCTTCCATCAGTTGGGTGCAGAAAACCTGGGCACGGAGAAGCCCATGCAGTGGTCACTGAGTGTGGGTCACTGCAGATGGTTACGATCATGCTTCTGCTGCAGGTATGGGAGCTCAAGAGAGGCTGCCATTGCCTTACGTTTTCTTAGTGAACCTTCCACTTCATCAGACTGGCTCAAAGAACCTTATGGTCTTAAAGCAAGCTTACTTATGGCTAAGAATTGGGGGTGAGGCAGTCCCCTCTAGATGGGGACAGGCCATCTTTCTTCCATCTGCCTTTCAAGGGAAATGGATGGTCCTGATTTCCTTTCTTTGCTTTGTGAGCTACAAACAGAAGAAGCACCTGTCAAAACCCAGTTTCTGTTGGAGTTTTACTTCCTGTGCTCATAAACCCCACATTGCCAGGTGGACAGGGAGAGTGCCACCCACTTTCCCAACTATTTATGCAGAAAGATGTCCAGAGGCCATTTACATGCTCAGAAATTTAACTGCCAAGAAGAAAAAAACCCCAAGATGACTGGATGAGACCGTTGCCCCAGAGCCACAAGTTCTGAAAGCAAAAACTAAGACTTTCTGGAGGAGACTTAAATTTGTCCAAGTTTTAGTATTCATGTCAGTCATACTCCAACTGCAAGCCCTAGCCAATGCTAAGAGAGAAAGTTTGCCTCTGAAACTGCCCACTGAAACTCTGGAAGTGGACAAAGGCAGGCCCAAGCCAGGAGGGCTACCTGGTCTAGCAGGTGTAGACGCTTCACGTAGGTCTCCTCAGTGTGCAGCAGCTCCTGGGCAATGTGGAGCAGCTTCTGGGGCTCAGAGCACTGTGAAGAGAAGAGCCATAGCTCACCTAGGGAAGATGAGTTTTGGGGAGGCAGCATATGACAAAGGCTACCCGCTGTATGCCAGGGATGACCAGGGGCCCCAAAAGACCAGAGGAGTCTGCTAGGACTGGGATGTGGGGCTCAGTTCTCGCAGATGGAATTTCCAGGGAGGTTTCTGGGGAAGACATAATAGTTTCTACCAACCCCCCCAGACCTTCTGCAGCCCAGAGAGAACTCTATCTTCCCGGGGCTTTAACTACAGAGGAGCTGCAATAGCCACATCAAAATATATTGTGGAGTGACATCAGCAAGGTGGCAGATTAGAAAGCTACAGGCCCTCCCAACAGGCACATGAAAAGATGCTCCACATTGCTAATTATTAGAGAAATACAAATCAAAACTATAATGAGGTACCACCTCACACTGGTCAGAATGGCCATCGTTAGAAAGTCTACAAATAAGAAATGCTAGAGAGGGTGTGGAGAAAAGGGAAACCTTCTACATTGGGAATGTAAATTTGTGCAGCCACTATGGAGGTTCCTCAAAAAACTAAAAATAGAGTTGCTATATGATTTTGCAATCCCACTCCTGGGCATACGTTCAGACAAAACTATAATTCAAAAAGATACATGCACCCCAATGTTCATTGCAGCACTATTTACAATAGCCAAGACATGGAAACAACCTATACGTCCATCAAAAGATTAATGGATAAAGAAGATGAGGTACATATATACAATGGAATATTACTCAGCCATTAAAAAGAATGAAATAATGCCATTTGTAGCAACATGGGCTAGAGATTATCACACTAAGTGAAGTAAGCCAGACAGAGAAAGACCATATGATATCACTTATATGTGGAATCTAAAATATGACACAAATGAACTTATCTATGAAACAGAAACAGGCTCACAGACATAGAGAACAGACCTGTGGTTGCCACAGGGGGGGAAGGAATGAATTGGGAGTTCGGGATTAGCAAATGCATACTACTATATATAGAATGGATAAATAACAAGGTCCTAGTGTATAGCACAGGGAACTATATTCAATATCTTGTGATAAACCATAATGGAAAAGAATATTTAAAAAATATATATATATGTATATATATATAACTGAATCACTTTGCTGTGCAGTGGAAATTAACACAGCATTGTAAATAAACTATACTTCAAGAAAATATATTAAAAAAAAAAAGAAAGTTATAGGCCCTCCTTCTCCCACACATGAGTTAACATTATACAAACAAGAATACCTCTGTGGAAACTCTGGAGACCAGCTGAGAAGCTACAGCTTCCAAGGCATTGTAAAACTAAGAAGAGATTCTATCAAATACAGAATGAAAATTGGCATGTTTGGAACACCCTTTTGTGTTCCTCCCCCATGCAGCATAGCACAGCACAACTGGGAAGAACCCCCCCCCCCCAACTAGGGCTCCTCCCTCAGGATGGAAACAAAGGAGTGAACTGTGCATCCAAAATTTTGGCTCATCTGGAAGCTGCCGGAGGGACTGGTTTCTGTCTTGCCTGATTTGGAATGCTGTCATGACCAGTGCCAGAGTTTGAAAACAGGTAAGCAGCATGTTACAGCTGATGTTCTGCAGGCAGATGCCAGGGGAGCAAGAGATCAGAAAAATTTTAATAGGTCTTAGAAATTCCAGCCTGATTGGCTAAGGTTTTCCCTGCACAAAGCCAGCATGCAAAGACTGGAGAGATGGTTGTATTTCAGATGCCCAAATTCCAGCAAAAAATTACAAAGAAACAGGGAAACATAGTGTGATTAAAGGAACAAAATAAAATTCCAGAAACCAAACCTAAAGAAACATAGCTCTATGAGCTGCCTGTAAAAAATATTAAATACCTGTCATATAGATGCTCAATGAACTAAAAAAGAACACAGACAACTAAGTGAAATCAGGAAAGTGATGCATGAACAGAATATCAATAAAGAGATACAAACTATTAAAAAAAAAGAGCCAAACAGAAACTCTAGAACTGAAAACTGCAATAACTAGACTGAAAAGTTCAAGCTAGGTCATTTGAAATCATAAATCAGAGAAATAAAAAGAAAAAACAATGAAGAAAGCAAAGAGAGCCTAAGAAACTTATGGGATACTACCCAAGGGACCAATATATGCATTTTGGGAGTCAAGTACAGCATACTTGAAGAATTAGTGGCTGAAAATGTCCCAAATATGAGGAAAGAAATGGACATATGAATTCAAGAAATTCACAGAACTCCAAATGGGATAAATCCAAAGAACCACACTGGGACACATTATAATAAAAAAAAAGGGGGGGTGGGAGGAGTGGGATGATATATTTAAAGTGCTGAAAGAAAAATAAAACTGTCAACCAAGAATATGTATCCAGCAAAGCCATCTTTCAAAAATGAAGAAGATGATACCAAAACCAGACAAACATATCACAAAAAAAGAAAATTACAGGCCAATATCACTGACAAACATACACGCAAAAATCCTCAACTAAATACTAGCAAACCGAATCTAACAACACATTAAAAAGATCATACACCATGATCAAATGGGATTTATCCCAGGGATGCAAGCATTCTTCAATATACACAAATCAATTAATGTGATACACATATTAACAAATTGAAGAATAAAAAACATATGATCACCTCAACAGATGCAGAAAAAGCTTTTGACAAAATTCAACACCCATTTATGATAAAAACTCTCCAGAAAGTGGGCATAGAGGGAACCTACCTCAACATAATAAAGGCCATATATGACAAATCCACAGCAAACGTTATTCTTTTTT